ACGCGCGGGGAGTGAGGAAAAAATTACCTCACAGAGTAGGGGGTTGGAGAAGACACGAGAAGAAAAAAGGAAGAAAAGGAACAGAAAGAGACGAAGGACCACCGCGATCGTACGGGAATCAACGACTTGCCGAAACTCTGGCAAAGGCCACCTAAGCGCCGACAGAGCGTCCTCTGCCTCTATCACTCTAACCCCAATCCGTTTCTGCGCTAACCGTACCTTTCTCTCTCTCTCTCTCTCTCTCTCTCTCTCTCTCTCTCTGTCTCTCTCTGTCTCTCTCGCTAATTAACGGTTCCGCGCTGTGCAAACATGGAGTGACCACCTCCGTCCGGACTAATTGCTAATCGCAGCTTCGGCACGAATCCTCCTCCCATTGGCCGTGTTTCTCTTTCGCTCCTCAGGAATTCCGCCTTCGTGTATGCACACCCAAAGTACGAGCTAAAGTTCAAATGGCCGTGCACTTAACGGGCGAAACGGGGCAGTGGGTGCACCGCGGGATAATTCGATCTTATCGCGTGTTGAACAAGCCGCCCGCTGGGAAATCGACCGTACGGATCGTTAAAAATCAAGAGATTGCGACAAACCGTACAAACATGCTGTGGAAATGGTCCAACAAAGGAATCCAAAAATAAAACAATCGAAAATTTTGTAGTGTAAATAGTGATTAAAGATAACCAATAATGATAAACAGTTAATGACATCAAACGAATATTTATAGATATTTACTTCATTGTTATTACCGAATTATTTATTCTTTAATCTGTCCCTTACAGTATAATATTTCGTCATAGTGTAGAATACAATATTACAGTTTCTTGTTAAAAATGAATTTGAATACTTATATATCCATTTAAGTATATAACACCTCAGAAATTCAAATTTTAATCATTTTTGCATGTTGGATCCTGCTTGTCTTGGCTTTAACGTAATTATTACCATAAAATGTTATTTTTAGATATTTTAATTTTTATGCCTATATTAATGATAAATGAAATTATTATGTGATTATGCAGAATAAGTGTACGTAAGCTATACAATGCAATATGCGGTACATGCGAGGAAATCCTAGTTGCCGCCATTTGGCAACGCCAACCATAAATTATAGCAGCGTACCGAGAATACTTGCGATTCCTCGCTTCTGAATAATTGCTACTGCCTTCAGCCACCTGCAGGTATAATCCTATTATAGTATATTACATCCCCCGGTAAAATGAAGCAAAGATTTCTGCGGCTGACAACACGTGAGTCTTCAAAGTATGTATATTTAAATTTGAAATCTTAAAAGATTAAGAAAGAAACTTATACTACATTTATAATACCTATATTTCGAATTATTACGAAAAAATGATAGTAACTTTTGAAAATGTAATCAATGTTAGACATAAAAATAACAATGTGACAATAAAGTTATTAAGTATTGTAGAATTATTCAATTGTTTTGTCTTTTAAAATATTTAGTAAATTATGCTTTCAGTGCAATAATTATCTTATTATAGTATTTTCTACGTTGGCAAAGATAACTGCATAAAGCAACTTGATTATCATTGTAAAACTTTTCTTTTCTTAAATTTAATTTAGCGGAATAAATTTTGTTCACTGTTAATACATTATACCTTACGTATATATATGCAAAAATATGTTTTAGTCAAAATTGGAGAGCGTAAACTAATATTACGGAATACTTCCGAGATAAATCGTATAGTGAGGAAAGAAATCTAGTGGTCTCCTTTTCGGATCAAGTATTTACAAAACGAGGATCAGTCGATAATCCTCAAATGAATTTTGTCAATATAAAGCAGGTATGCCATGGAAACTAGCTAAATCGGATTAGCCTATGATGAAAAAGGTCTCTCTCGATTCCATGATATATATAAATAATAATGATGGGGCGTGAGAACGCGTAAATAAAAGGGTTTACGATGTAAATATTTTCTTGTTATGAGAAAAGTTTCAATAGCTTTGATATTAAGATTATAAAACTTCTACATATAAATAAATATATAGTATTTATATAAACGATATGTAAGAATGATCAATTCAGATTCCGTGTTAACAATTAAAGTTTTCAAATCGCCATATTTGTTTTGTATGTTAGAATGAACAGAAAGTGTTGGAAAACTAAGAGTATAAAAAGATAGCCTGTTCAAGTTGCATAAATCAAGAGTCTCTGAGTCACGAAAGAAGCACATTCCTTCCGAAATGATCGAATACATCAAGAATCGCGATAACGATGTCGGATAGATCTAGACTGTCTACCTAGCTATTAATTTTTTTCACACATAGAACCTTACCTCTCCATTTACATTTGCAATAAATTGAGATATTAGTCTTCATCACTGACTGCCAGCCAAAATCCATTGTATTTTCTAATTTACGAGAAGTATTTTCAAACAGACCATCTCCGACCGTAGAAAGTTGTATAGACTACCTACTGCTTTTTTGTAATTTCTTACGGAAGAATAGCCTCGAGCCAATTTCTAAAAGACGGCTTATGCCACATTTATTCGTTAAGGCGGTAAGATGGACCGAAAGTCCCTGCTATTCCATTTAGCAATCTTATTAAAATTATACGGAGCTATGATTCACAAGAGGACAGTGACATTATTCTTGTTGCGTAGTTAATGACAAAAAATCTCACGGTTGATTTTGTCAAGTCCCGTCGAGACTCTTCTTACGCGTCGTTTAGCTCGCGTATTTTGGATCGCTTCGATATGTGCACGAACAATTTTCCGCCTCTCAACGTCAGACCCGTTTATCTTCCCGGGATCACGAGCGAAAGGGAGCTCGTGTAGAAAACCACCAAAAACTTGTCAGCGAGTTTAAGCGCGAACAAAAGCCCACCCGTCGGCGCGCTGTGCCTCTAAACGTTGAGATTATCATTGTGCCGATATTTATCTGTCAGTTTCTAGCCGCGTTTCCTTGCCCGCGGTCATTGTCGTTTTGGTGGGATCAGTGAAATCCGGGCCGAAGCCCACATTTTTCAGGTTGACAAATAGACGGACAATGAGACATTCCGACGCGGTTAGAATAACATCATTTAACTACCGTAAACCTTCTTCGTCGACCGTCTCTACGATCGCGATCCGGCTTTTGCAGAAATCGATGAAAATCGAGTGCTCCAAAGTAAATTCCGACGCGGCCTCTTAAGCAGATTATATTGTGTCGCAAATTTCCCATCTCGATTCTCAAACGAAACATATGCGGTATACCAAATAGCGCGCACAAAGCAGAGAGGAAAGTATAAAGAGACACATGTGTGTGCCAACTATATCGCACTGATTATCTACAATCTAGATAATTCGTGAGATAATCCCGCATATGACAATTCCATCGATTCCTCAAATATCTTGGAGATTAGTGCTTGTTAACAAAAATGCTTCAAATCAAAATTGTTCTCTCTCTCTCTCTATTTCGAAGTGACATATTCAAATACAATTTTGTTATAGTTGAAATTATTTCCTAGATTTAAAAGTTACCTTTACTTTTTTAAGAAAAATCTATATTCATAGTCGATTTTCCTATATAATTTATATATAGAAATAAAAAAATAAAATCATTGCAACAGAAACATCTATAATATTTTTTTCTAACATTTATAAAATAACTATTATATCTTGCATTTACTATATGTTCTGATTATCTTATTCCTTTTATGTGCATAATAACGGGAAAAATTAATTTATACAAAAAATGATATAATATTATTTAAAAATAAATATGTATATATATGTTGCAGAAAAATTCGCGGAATTGGACCATAAATTTTTTTTTATTACTTTATACAAAAATGATTGATGTATGATTATGGAAAGATAAATATTCTATGAAATTATACACCAAAAAATAATTTAGAATATAAAATATTAGATATTTTGCAAAATACCCGAGTTTCGTTATTAATTTTATACATAAAAAGATTGTTTAATTAAAGAATAATGTTATTCTATTTTACATACAAATAAAAATTCTTTCAAACCTTGAAAGTGACTCCATCTAGAATAAAGTTATATTGACCATAAGATGATATTACTCGAAACAAGGTAAATGTACTTTTTTCCTTTAGCAATCAATAATTTTAAAGCTGAATAAAAATGGAGTTATTTTATTTTATTTTCGTAAAATTTATATATTTATGTGCATATATTAAATATCAATTAAATATGCTTGTTAAACATTTCAGAAAATTCCTGCTGCTTTATCATATTTTGTTTATACTATGCGTATTATCTCTTTTGAAGAAATGAAAAGTAAAAAAATTAAATTGTTAAAATCGTTATTATTTAACACGTAGTGCAAAATAGATCTCTGTTAAGTTAACGAAAGATAAATGAAGTCCCTGTTAATAAGATACTGTTACATCGCAGTGTTTAATATCAATATTAATATAATTTATATTTTCTGTCTCTAAATCAAATTAAGAAAAAAACTGGGAAACCGTGTAAAAGAATTTTTTATATTTAAAGGAACGATTTTATGTCGTTCTTCCCTATCGAGCGAGCGTTTCACAGTCGAGCGGACAGCATACTGCAGAACCATCTGCTTTTACGAAACACATTTGACCGAAAACTTGCCATCCGTACACAAATCAGACATCCGGTAATATTAAAATTTTTATAAAATAAATGTAGTAATAAAAAATGAATGAAAATCTATATAATCTGATAACGTCAACTAAATTTTTTCTTAAAATTAGAATAAGAATAAATGCATTTTATACCATATACCGAACTATTCAATACTCACAGCTCTAAGGATTTTAACATCAATCTTTTTTTTTAACTCTGAATTTAAATATAATCTTTACAAAAATGTGAATAAACAATTTAATTAATAATATAAGTTTTTCAGATTATACAAACGCTAGTAAATCTTATTGTTTTTGCGTGAGTGTAATATTACATTATGAGTGTAATATTACATTGTATACAATTATGTCATATATCGCATTTCTGAAATAAGGTAATTGTCATGCGCATGTAATAATAGAGTTACACACTCACCACATTGACGAAGTCCTGGAAAGTAACTGCTTCAACACGCGATTCTTTCGCCCTGGTTAGAAGTATGTCACGTTTGTTCGTCGGTATTTCTGCCTTCCATTCGGGGCTTCTCAAGGCTGTCAGAAAGTCCTCCAGCGGTATCTCTCCAAAACCCTCCGGATCGAACTGAAACAGTGGCCAATCGAAATTTAGTTCACCAAAAACAGATAAACATCAAACTAAAAGCAATGCAATTATACATACCTTGTCGAAGAGCATTCGCCATTTCTGTAATTTAAAAGAAATTCATGTTAGTCATCAAAATTGATATCATATATGCCTTGCATATATGAACAAAGTTAATTGTCTATCAATATTTTAATATAAAATCTACTCATTCATGTCTCCAAAGAAAGAAAAGCAAGATAAAAACGTTATGGACTGATTATGATAAATGATGTAAATTAGAAAAATGGCAATTAATTTGACAAATAATTAGAAAAATGACAAATAACTAAATGGTTTATTTCCAATCATGGGATCTAGCGATTTCGGGACAACGACTCACATCGTTAAGCAACTCCCGTCTGTACTCGGATTCGTCGATATCGACCTCCGAGGCCAGATCGGTGTGATCAGTAACGTATCCATCGTAATGCACGCTGTTTGCCTCGCTGCGTGCGTACTCCTCCTCCTCCTCGACAGCGCCGGCGATGGTCGGTATAGAAGCACCGTTTGCCAGTAGCATTACCGTGCGCGGCACGAGGTCACCGGGTGAATCTCCTCATTCCTCCCTCTTCCGCGTGCTTCCTGAAATATAAAGGGGCTACATGCTAAACCGTGCCACTTTTAAAGCGATCGATTTCGCCTTGACGCCGCATAAATACCCTCCACCTCCCTCCCCCCAACACTTTCTGCATTGTTATTCGAACGAGTACGTACTTCCAGGCATAACAATTGGCTTTCAGCCACGCACGCAATATATCTCACTTCACAATCCTGACGGGGAAATGTCAAGCGTAGTCGAATTACTTTTTTTATTGCATGCATTACATTGAGCTGGCGTGGAATATTTTTGCTTTGAGCATTTATGGAATTGATTAACTTATTTTCATACATAAATCAGATAATCGTGACATTTAAAAGCGATGAAGAAATGTATAATTTTCTCTTTTAAAAAATACGCAGATAGAAGATAAATATGCGACATCCTGCTAATCTTCTAGATCAACTTTGGCTCTCCAAGCTTTCCAGTAATCGTTTACGTACGTGATTGCTGATGTGAGAAGGTATTCGGCAGACTAATGGGAATGATGGAAATGAGGGTGCAAAGGGGATATTGATCGTCCTTGCACTCCTTAAAGGCACGATAGAGCAGTGCCCTTGAAACTAGCCTGCCGTTCTAAAGCGGCGCAACGTGACGATATAACATAACGTACAGCAGCGGTGCCGTTTCCATGGCAATGCATCGATGGGTCTGGGAACGTGCCAACCTTCGCGCGTGCACGGTGCACAGTGTGGGACACGTACCACAGCATTAAAACACAGGTCGCAATCGCACTTATCCAAAGTATCTTATGTTAAGCGACGACTTTGCAAGGAGCAACTCTCGTTTGCCTTCATCAAGCATTTAGCATTAAAATTAATCGCACAATTCTAGAATGATTTTTTTAATGTTAGTACAAAAAACAGTGTTCTGGAACTTCTCCAAAAAGGATCTCTGAAGATTCTAGAATCCCTAACATTAAAAAATATAAAAAATAAAATGCCAATTAAAAATAAAAAGTCTGAAAGTATATCGAGTTTTGAATTTTCGTTTTCGTCATGCACTGATATTTTTATATCAATTAGCATCATGAATTCAGGTCGAGATAACATTCGATGGAATAATTGAACAACTATTCAGAGCCCTCAAGAAGACATCAGATTTCCATTAAATTAATTAGTTAAATTAATTGATATCATTAAATATCGTATTGCAAAAGCGTAAAATTGTAGTTAATTTTAATGACAAGATATATACAGGGTGGGGAAAAAGTATGGAAGCAAACAATTATTTCCGAAACTATTCATTTTTCGACAAAAT